CTCTTAAGGTCGCACCAGCGCTGCTCGTGTTTTTGATCTGATGTTTTCGAGATGTTTTACTGGACAAAAGCCTTGAAAACCTTTGATGAGAACTGATTAAGTTACATTTTCAATATCTAACAGTTTAGTGCACATCGCCCTAATGACGATCAGTAAATTTGAGACTAATACTCAATAGTGTTAAAAATTACTAATACTGCATATCTGAATCGGAAACAAAATAATAATACATAAAACACTTTATTACAACACACACGAGTGTAACGGTGAAAATGCAGCAAATGTTCAGACGTTGATTGCGTGCGTGACGCGCCGCGGTGACGTTCCGAAGCAGATGCGCGTTGGTTTCACCCGATCCACCTTAAACCCACAGCTCGTCCGCCCTCCTGCATCTGCCCCATGATCCTCTTTCATTCATCAGTGTGTGTGTGTGTGTGTGTGTGTGTGTGTGTGTGTGTGCGCAAAAACAGCGCACGCATCTGATCCGACACACTCACGCAGAGTCACCGGACAGACGCGCACTGCGCTAAACCAGCAACTAACGCGCTTGATTCGTGGATTTAGCCGGATTCCTTCTGCTTTGCCCCGTGGAGCTCCCTCTGGATGTTACGCTCGCAGTCATGCGCTGATTTTTGGTCTCGTTCAGGACATATTGATGGATGTTTGGCACATGGACTGATGGATTTGACATTATGGGAGTCTGTCTGTAGGTACGTATCACACACACACCACACACACACACACACACACACACACACACACACATGCGTGTTTACTTTAAGATATTCTAAATATTTATCTTTATGTATGTATACGCTGCTGATCAAAGTTTGGGGTCAGTATTTTTTTCTTTTTTAAGAAATACTTTTGGTATGGAAATATTTTTTTTGTATAAAATCTTGCCTAGAATGATCCCAAATGTGAGCGTTCGACAATTTCTGAAATGTTCTTACGAACGATTTATAAAATGTCCATACACAAAAATGTTCCTAAATGCATTCCACTTTATAAATTGCAGTTTATCTTAAATTCAAGTACAGTAACAAATGCATCAACTCCATGTATAAAATGGCCACAAATTTCCCTTTATGGTTCAGAAGTTTGGCATCCATTATCAAGCTTAAATCTAAAAATCTAAATGTACTTAATTATTTATCAGAAAATCATAGATAATTAATTATTTAATTTCAGTGACGCTTTCACTTGTGGCCTCCGTTTTGGATCTCTTCATTTCTTACCTTTATTTGCTGCTAGTCTCTCTCTCTCTCTCTCTCTCTCTCTCTCTCTCACACACACACTCTGAAGGGAGCCGTGACAGTATCACAACTTGGTAATACTTTACTTGGTAATTACTTCTTAGATTATTTATATTTTCAAAGTATTTTACAATAAAAAATGTTTTGCAGTGACATCATATTGTTGCAATATATTTATATTCAGGATGATTGTACCATCACAAAAAAAAGGTTGAGAAGCTTGTTTGAGTGCACATCACAAACTAATGCATTATATCAAAACATTACATTATAATAAACCAATATAAGTGTTATAAGTAATAATAGCATATAGATCCATTAATTTTTACTGTAGTACTGTATTCTGTGCTACTGTATTATTTTGTGAGGCACACACACACACACACACACACACACACACACACACATCCGTGTTATTTAATGCGGAATAAGGCAGGATTGGATGGAGATCGTGTGTGGATCTGTGAAGCCGGAGCTCTTGCGTTTATTCAACTCGCGTTTATTACTCAAAACGTATGTTCATAATCATATTATGCGCTTCAGGCTGTGTGTGTATGTGTGTTTGAGCCTGCACACGCACACACACACACTCCTCCCCCAGCGGGCTTGTTTTCATTCATAAGTTTCCTTTTTCTTGTAGTTCTGCATTTTTTTCGTGAACGCGTTTTATGTTTTTTTAACATATTAATTACATTTCTCAAAGATGCACGGATACAAAACAATATAATATTAAACGCATAATAACCAGGAAAAAATATATTTGCATTAAAAAAAATTATTGCCGATTATTTTTATTGATATTAAAACGCATTAGTTGCGCAGCCGATATTAACGCAAAGTTTTCCAATCTGTGCTTTCCAATTTGCATGCTTACTTTCATTAGCTCAACTAGTATATTCGGTTCTCTCCGTCTGAACCTCTGAACTGAAGAGTAAAACGAAGCCTCGTGGAGTTTCGGACTCGTCCCGCATCATAAAGCTCTCTGAGAAGCGCGTGAAGCTCCGTTTGATTTGAAGGCTTCCTGCTCTGTGTGGCTCTGCATTTTAATGTTAACCAGCCATACACATGCAAATCAGGACGGGAAGTGTTTGTACTTTACTTCAGAGGTCGGTACAAAGTCTTGTTAATGGTCAACTCTCTCTCTCTCTCCGCTCGGGGCCAAGAACGTTTTAAGAATCTAACAAATCTTTTTTGGAATTGAAAGGCTCCATTGATGTTAAAGGTTCTTCAACCAACCACTAGATGCCAATAAAGAACCTTTGTTTTTAAGAGTGAGGCTTCATCACAAAAAGGTGTTTAAAAAGTATTGGGTTAAAGTGTGCATGCTGAGAATGTCCTGTCTCTCTCTGTCTGTCTCTCAGGGTGTCAGATGAATATTGCATCCGTGTTGTTTGGTGTTGCTGATCGTGTCTTATGGATCTCCACGGTCAGCGCGGAGGGAGCGTCAGACATGCGGACCTCCCGTCTGGGGCCATCCTGTCCCTGGACCAGATCAAAGCCATCCGCTCTTGCAACGAGTACACGGAGGGCCCGGCTGTAGCACGCAGCCCGGCCCCGGGGCCGCCTCGCATGCCTCCACCGCGCAACGCGGACAAGCAG